GTTGCTGTAAGTATATATTAAATAAAATAATGTTATCCACTTTTATAATTCATTACTAATTTATTTAAAAATAGTCTCGAATCATTGGATTATATTCGAGAAGGTAAAGCTGATCACGTATCTGATGATTACAAGAAAATTACCGGCGAAAAACCTACTCGCATTAAATCGTTCTTCGAAGTAAATTTTAATTTATTTATATTTTCGAATATCTTTACTCATCTTACATCACATATTAATTAAAATTTTCATTTCTTATTATTTAATAATAGGACAATGCTGAATCGTTCCGCCCTGGTAGAAACCGTCGCTCTCGCAATTTAGACGACATGGGTAAACGTAGTAGATTGTAAAAATTTTGTTTGTTTTTTTTACTATCATGTAGTAGTATTTCTTTTTGTAGTAGTTTTTATTGGTGAAAAACAAAATATTTTAATTATAGTTGATATTAGCTATTAGCTATTGTTTTTTTTTCTTTTTTTATTCACTCAATAAAAAAAAATATAAAGTTTAGCTTTAGTTTTTATGCTTACTTTTTTAACTGTTTAAAAAAGCTCAATTTAACGTTAATAATTCATGAAATAAATCACCGCTCACACAATTTTAAATTGATTTTAAAAATATATATGAGTTAAAGTTAGAAAAAATTGTAAAGTTTGATTTATTTCAATTTTTGCTACATTTTTATTATCATTGAATTGTTTAACAAAATTTATTATAAGTCATATAATGAACATTGTTTTTTTTAATTTTTTTTTTACATTATCATTTTTTTGGTGACTTAATCATATATTTTTTTAAAATAAAAATAACCAAAATAAAGAATGTAGTATACGACGCGGGGAACTTCTATTGAAATTCTCGAAAAAATTTTTTTGCTTATAATTTTTTTTTTTTTTTTTTTTAATTTCGTCAGTCAGTGCATTGTTTTCTAGAAAATCTGATTACAGACCTTCTAAACCCCCTGAAGAGACAAGTCCTACTTCTGCCAGATTATATCTGACAGGACACGACCTAATGTGTGGCATGATTAATAACGATAAGACGGGAAATTAAATCAAATATAGGTTTTTTTTTTTTTTTCGCTATCCTGAAAAAAACCGGAAAGTCATTTCGAAAACGTATTGATGATCTTCTCAAAGAACAAGTAACCAAGTACGCTCAAAAAACTTCGTCTTACAAATCAAGA